GGCTTGCCAAAGCTAGGATAGGTCAGCCGATTAGGAGGGCGCACATCCCTCCTAGGACGGTCAGCCGGACGTGCGACACCTTGTAGAGCACCTTGTTGCTGCTGCGGCTGCTGCTGCTGTTGCTGCTCCTCCACCTCAGGTTCTCCCCCATCCTTAGTCACCCCAGAGATCTCATTCTCAAAGACAGAAACCTCCACTTGCCTCGAAGGCCGCTGCACCTCATCGGCTCCGACAATCAGTGGTGTCGTAGGAAGCTTCTGCTGCTGCTGCTTCCACTCCTTGTAGTACAAGGACTCGAGGAACTTCACATCCCTCGACACAGTCAGTTGCTGGCTGGTCAAGTCCCATAGCAGCCAGCCCTTGTGGTCCTTCGCAAGCCCTAAGTGCACACCCCATCTCCCAGAAGCTTCCAGCTTTCCCCTCTTCTCCTTCGGCACATGAAACACCACCATGCAGCCGTAGGCTCTCAGCATGTTGACTGCTGGTGCACTCCCATACCACTTGGTGTAGGGGACCCACTGCTTGTCCCCCACGGTCGCTAGCACCCTGTTCTTCACAAGGGCGACCTGCCGCAGTGCAGTCACCCAAAAAGGATCCGGCAGCCCTGCACGCCCAAGGAGAGTGCGAGCACCTTCCTGCAGGGTCCGGTTGAACCGCTCAGCCATGCCATTCTGCTGAGGGTTGTAGGGCACTCTGAGCTGATGCTGGATCCCCTTCTTCTTCAGCACCGCCTCAAAATCAGCACCAATGAACTCTCCCCAATTGTCTGTGCGGATCACCTTCACATTGTGTCCGCTCTCCCTTTGAGCTCTCGGCATCCACTCCTTGAGAACAGCCGCTGCCACCTCCCCCTTAGTCTTCAGAGGGTACACCCACACCGCACGCGTGTGGTCGTCCACAATGGTCAAGAAGTAGCGGCTTCCCGAGAGAGAATTGGCCCTCGTGGGACCCACCACATCCATGTGCACAAGCGCAAGTGGAGCCTTGGCTGGTCCTGTGCTGCTGCTGAAGGGAAACTTTGTGAATTTGGACTCAAGGTATGTAGGGCAGCTCCCAGTCTCCTTCGCTGCCCCCTTCACCTCCAACCCCTTCAAGCTCCCATCCGTAACCAACTTCTGCAGCATAGGAAAGTTCACATGACACAGCCTCTCGTGCCACGTCTCCCAATCGGCCTCACCACTCCCAGATGAAGCCTTTGCCCATGCAGTTGTCGCATCCACACCAACAAGCACCTCACCATGTGACTGCAGTGGTTGCTGCACCTTCTTCACTGCATCCAGGGCCCCATCAGTTGGTGCAGTCTCCTCTCCTCCCGCAGTTGCCTTTGCCGTTGCTGTAGCCGCTGCCGTTGCTGGTGGTTTCCCGTTCCAAGGGATGATGGGCAGCTGCCATAGGTCCTTGATGCAGCTGCTCTTCTTATCCAAATCCCACAGCAGCAACTTCCCAAGCTTTGCACGGCAGCTGGTTGGGCCGAAGGTCACTTTGGCCTTGCTCTTCTGCAGCCGGCGCACAAAAAGAAGGTTAGCGGACAAACCTTCAACCAACAGCACATTCCCCAGCCCCATAAGCTGCCCTTTAGCTCCCTTTACCTTGGCATTCACCACACCAACCACAGGGAGCAAAGCACCTGAAGCGGCAGCCACAAACTTTATCCCTTTAGCTCCCTTTACCTCGTCAAGCAAATCTGCGCGTGGGGTCATGTGACTTGTGCAATCTGAATCTATCACCCAGTAAGTGAGGGGGTTCGTCATAACCTTCCCAACTGAACCCACATCACCCCCACTCCCTTGCACATCCTCGACCATGAGGAACATCCCAGGGTCGACTTTACCTTGTGCACCATCACCTTGTGCACCTAAACCTTGCACAGCGCCACCTCATGCACGTTCACCACTTGGCGGCTTCATGCCCAGGGGCGCCCATCCCTCAGGCCGGCTAAAAGACTTGAACCACGGGTGTCCAGCCTTCTTGCAATACCAGCACGCACCCTCCATTCGGGTGCTCCCCCTGCCACCAGAGCTCCCATGCCCCTCATTATAGTCACTTCGGCCTCTCTCTCTGCCAAAGCCTCTCCCACGGCCTCGGCCTCTCCCACCCCCTCTTCCTCTGCCGCCTCCTGCAGCTCCATACCCCTCAGCAGTTTTGTTGGCAGCACCACCTCCCATGTGGCGCCTGTGGAAGTCCTCTTGCAGAATCTGCTGCCGTAGCCACTCTGGCGTCCACTTGTTCTGCTGAACGTTGAGGGTGGGGATGAGGTTGTCCCATGAGTTGTCGAGCACCGAGATGATCTTGGTGCATTGCTGCATCTGCGACACCTTGCTGCCCGCCGCTGCCATCCTCGCATATGTGTCGTTGATCTTGTCAAGGACCGGCTTCACATCATCTCCCGATCGCATGGAGATGGCCGCCAGCTCCTTCTTGAGCACGATCACCATGGGCAGCATGTTGGGCTGAATCACGTCGTGCAGTAGCTTCCACGCCTTTGGACCGGAGTCGTCCAACTCAACCAAGTCCTTGATGTGCTGGAACATGTCGTTGTTGACCGATTGCAAGATGAGGTCGAACAACACCGCGCTCCGCTCAATCCACCGATCCCGAGCATCTCCTTCCTCGGGCATTTTCTCTTCTCCCATCACAAGTTTGAGCAGCTTGTAGCGCTTGAAGATGCTCCTCATCCGCTCGCTCCATTCGTCGTAATTGGAGCCATCCAACACCTCAATCTTGGATGGTGGCGGCTCACTTCTCTTCTCAGCTGCTTCTCCACTCCCTTGACTCATCTTCTCTGTTCCAATCACACGTTCCAGCTCCCCCTTTGCTGTCCACACCGAAGTCCCACACAATTGTCACAAGTGTCGGCGCCAACAAAATTTCGGCAGAGTTTCCCCTTAGCGGAAGTCACATCCAACCTCCAAAACTCCACTTAGGCTCGCCCTCAGGCCATTGTGGGTCTAAGAGGGTCTTCATACTTCAGTAGACTCTCCACAAAGTCCTTAATCAGCTTTGATACCACTTGTTGTAGAATTCCACTACTATAGCAGCTTGATAGAGCTCAGAAGCACGATTCCAACGCTCCAAAGATTGCAGGAAATGGTCCACTATAGCCAGAGTTACACACAAACATAGCAGTGATAATGACTTGGATGATTTCTGGTTTGTGCTCTCTGGTTTCATACTAGGACGCAATACAAAATAAAAGCACACAAGAAAGTGTCGACCTGGGTCGCATGTTGAATTTCGTAAACGCGAAATTCGGAGCCTTGAATTTCGCCGAGCGAATTCCATTGACTGGAATTCCGCAGACGAGAATTTCCGCGACAAGAATTCCGTCGACCACCAACTGTAACTCCCGTGCGAATTCCGTTGACTTCGACACTTCGCTGCCGAGTTTCAAACCGAACGCGACCCGAGATCGATTTCGCCAAACTGTCCCCAATCTGTCCCCAAACTGTCCCCAATCTGTCCTGACAAGACACTTTCGGGACACTTGAATCGAAAGGTCTCCAGTTCGAAACTCGTGTGCACCATAACCAGCGCCTGAGCAGAAACTGTCCTGAATCTGTCCTGAGACACTTTCAGGACAGAAATGAAGGTCACGAGTTCGAATCCCAGCGCAGACATTTTGTTGCTCATGACAGCATTTCCTTCTAACACGCCCCCTTGCTGTCAGGAGCACGCTGGACCAGCCCGGCTGCTGCACAGCATCGGTTGAAGGCTGCCTTGTCGAGCCGCTTCGTGAAGAAGTCCGCGGGCTGCGCCGTTGTAGGGATGTGCTACACCTCCAACTTCTTCATGCGCACCATGTCCTGTAGCCACATGTGGCGACGGTTCACATGCTTCATGTTCCCCTGCAGCCCGCCCGCCTGGCTGAGCTGCACCGCTGACATGTTGTCGACGTACAGGGTGGTGGGGACACCCTTCTTGAGCAGTTGAAACTCCCACAACAGGAACCTTAGCTTGCGCCCCTCCTTTTCCGCTTCCACCGCAGCCACAAGCTCGCTCTCGGTGGAGGAAAGTTTGGTCGCACCCTGCAGCTTCTTGGCCTGCCATGAAACGGCAGCTCCGCCAAGCTTGAAGAGGTAGCCTCCCGTGGATGACCAATTCTCCTTGTCGCCTGCATCATCCGCATCCGCGTACCCCACGAGAGTCAAACTCGCTGGTCCTCCCTTGAACAGCAGCCCCATGTCCGGTGAGGCAGCCCAGTAGGAGAGTGTGCGGAAGAGCTCATGCCAATGCGCATCCCTCCTCAGGCGTGCACCTGCTGCAAGGCGGTCGGTCATGCTGCGATCGGCAAACAGCTCAGCATCCTCTATGACAAAGCTGGTAGAGGAGATAGGGGTGATCGGCTGCTTCTTCGGTGGCACCCCCTTGAAGAACCGCTGCTGCACCTTCGCCACGTATGCATTCTGGTGCAGGAGGAGTGTCTTGTTGGGGTGGTCGCGCACAATTTGCAGACCAAGATAGCCTTCCGTGGATGACATGTATTCCACCACGAGGAAACCTTGTCCACCAACTTTCCTTCAGGTCCGGTCAAGGTTACTCCGAGGTTGATGATGATGCTCCTCAACCCCCCTTCCTCCTCATCAGCCTCATCCAAGTACTCCACATCATAGTAGATGTCTGTGCCATAAGCACCTCGAGCAAGGAATGCAATGCCGTACATATTGTTGCCATCAACCGCATCCGAGGCCGTCATGGTGGATGCGGGAAGCCGAACAGGTGGCATACCCTTGTTGGACCTGCTAGAATGACATGGGGGTGGGGGAGTGGGCTGGAGGGGCGGAACCGTGGGTATGGGGTCCTTTCCATGGGTTGCCGCCGATTTCAGGTCCGTTGCCTCTCCTTCCTTGTCTTCATCAGCTGCACAACGTTCATCCGCAGGGACCAACCTCTGGTCCCACAGGTGCCAAGCCAGCAGCTAAGGATGGACAGAGAGCTGGCAGAGCCATGGTTGCGTTGCTGCCCGCAGGGTCAACCGAACGATCAAACGGTTGTTCGCCCCCTTACACGGACGGCACTGGGATTATGATGATGATACGTGACGGCGGCTGATTCTGCTCAGGTCCGTGGACCATCCCAAGAACCTCCCCCTCTCGCTCGTCAGGCAGCGGAAGCGTTTGACGAGTGAGTTTGGCTTCTTGGGAGGAGGCGCTCGACGTGTCCTCCCCTCCTTTCTCTAGGTCCATGCCTAGCATGCCACTGTTTGTGGCTGTCCACTGCACCGCACCAGCATGGTCATTCTCAAGGTGAGTGTGCCGCAGGTTGAGCATCGCCTCGGTCCCCACCGCATATGTTGTGAGGCTGGCCGCTTCGTCATTCTCTTCCAAAGCGCTTGACACCACCTCAGCAAATGCCTTAGGCATACTGCTGCATGCCACCTCAGCCGCCGTGCCATTGCATGCCGCCGTAGCCGCCGTGCCGTTGCATGCCACCGCAGCCGCCCTGCCGTTGCATGCCGCCGCAGCCGCCCTGCCGTTGCATGCCGATGCAGCCCCTGTGCCGTCGCTCGCCGCTCCACCCGCCATATCGGTGCATGCCGCTGTAGCCGCTGTAACGTTGCATGCCGCTACAGCTGTTGCACCGTTCCTTGCTGGCCCTGGTTTCAGGTCAAGGCAGTGAAGGCAGTGGCGGTATCGTGCCGTTGCAACCACTTGACCTCCTGATGCGATAATGCGAGTGACACCTTCCTCGGTTCGTAGCTTTGCTCCCTTGTCCAAGAGCTGCCCAGGGGAGACCAAGTTGGCCTTCATTCCTGGCACAAAGAGGACATCATGTAGGTCACACGCAAGCCGTTAGTGCCCCCCAGCAAAACCTCACCAACACCGGCAACTTCCTGCATAGAACCATCAAACCCTTTGACTGATTTCGTTGCAGATGGGTCACGGATCACAATGAACCACTCCTTGTGGCCGGTCATGTGTTGGGAGCATCCTGAGTCAAGGAACCACAAGTCCTTGTCGTCGGCCAGCAACTTTGCAGCCGAACACGTGACGGTGAGCGCCACGCCCTTCCCGTCTCCTTCAGCTACATTCGCGGCTGCCGCATGCGTTGTATCTTTCTTCTTGTTGGGGTACTTGGCAGCCATGTGCCCCTCCTCATTGCAGTTGTAGCAGCGCCCCTTGAAGGGGGCTCGCTTCTTCCACTTGTCATCCTTCTTCTTGTCCGTCTGCTCCCTTCCCCCTTTTCCTTCCTTCCCGTTGACCCCCGTTGTAGCCACGATGGTGTTGACAGCGCCCGAGAAAGTAGATGCATCGCTGGTGATCTGCTTGTAACTCTGTTCGATGGATAGAGTCTGCTCCTCCATCAACACCTCGCTGCACACGCGTTCCACCGTCATGTCAGGGCTGGAAATATCGAGCTTGCGGCGAAGAAATCCGTACTCCGGTGGTAGGCCCTTCAGCACGTGGGCGGCAAACGTGGCCGTATGGACCTCCTGTCCAATGGTCAGCAGCTCCGCTCGGATGGTGCGGGCCCTATTGCAGTAGGATTCCGCCGTCTCATCATCTCCCTTCCTGAGTTGGGCTAACTGGGTCTGAAGTAGGGAAGCGTGGAGGGCATCACGAATTTGATAAGTAGACAAGATATATGCCCATGCTAGCTGCCCAACTTTCTCTTGCTGAGAGAAACCAGAGATGGACATTCGGATGGGTGGAGAAACACATTGGTTCAGCACCATGAATGCAAGCATTTGGCCCTTTGCGTACTCCCTTCGTTGCAAGGGGTTGTTCAGGGCCGGGCTTGGTGCTGTCCCGTTGCAAAACTGCCACAAATCAGCACACTGGAGCTGAGCTCGGATGGCGCTGACCCACGCGGTAAGGTCGTGCCTTCCCTCCAGCAGCGGCGTCACGGAGATGTGTTCGACTCCAAACTTGAATTGACAGTAGCTCGCCCCGATCATTCCCGTGTCAATGGTCGGTGCAAGAGCTCCTCCACTAACGCCCACAGCACTTGGAGCCTCGTGCACAGCTCCTCCTTCACCGGTTCTTCCTTGCTGGCCGCTCGCAGGTGCTTGCTCCGCCGCGCGCTCCCGAACCATGCGTAGTAGACGACCGTCCACAATGAGGTCGACTTCCTCATCACGCAACTGAGGGTGGTGCTCACGAACAGACGCCTCAAGCTCCTGACGGGCATTCAGACCCTCGGCGTGCGCACTCAAAACGAGCGTCGGCCACACCAACATGGGAACGAAGTGATGGGAGGACGGGATCAAGCCGCTAGTTGGATCGACGCAAATAACGCAGCTCTGATACCATGTAGAATTCAACTGCCTACCTTGCCTACCAGATACCTTGTGCCTACCTTGCCTCACTTGCTCACCCCTTGACCTTGTTTGTACTGTTGCATATATATATACACCTGCTCTTGCTTGTCTAGCCTTATATATATATGTAATCCTGCATGTGAACTGGCCTTGTGGCCTTGAACCTGTGCTCGGAATGTGTGGTGACTTTGTGATCCACCCTGAGCTTGCTTTGCTTTGCTTGACTGGTCTTGTGACCCCTTGTTCTCCCCCACTTTGCCTATGGGGGTGTGTCAGATTTATATGACAGAGCTACTGTAGGCTATAGTGGGGTAGCACATATGGGGTACAGTTTTCTAGGGTTTGCATTTTGTACCCAACTTTCCCTTAGTCATTCCCCATTCCTCGTTTCTTCTCACAACTACTATAGCAGCTTGATAGAGCTCAGAAGCACGATTCAAACGCACCAAAGATTGCAGGAAACGGTCCACTATAGCCAGAGTTACACACAAACATAGCAGTGATAATGACTTGGATGATTTCTGGTTTGTGCTCTCTGGTTTTATACTAGGACGCAATACAAAATAAAAGCACACAAGAAAGTGTCGACCCGGGTCGCACGTTGAATTTTGTCAACGCGAAATTCGGAGCCTTGAATTTTGCCGAGCGAATTCCATTGACTGGAATTCCATAGACGAGAATTTCCGCGACAAGAATCCCGTCGACCACCGACTGTAACTCCCGTGCGAATTCCGTTGACTTCGACACTTTGCTGCCGAGTTTCAAACCGAACGCGACCCGAGATCGATTTCGCCAAACTATCCCCAATCTGTCCCCAAACTGTCCCCAATCTGTTGTGACAAGACACTTTCGGGACACTTGAATCGAAAGGTCTCCAGTTCGAAACTCATGTGCACCATAACCAGAGCGGCTGAGCTTCCACCCCTGCCTACCGCCAGCTGCTTTCACCATGGTGTACGACGAGGTCGACGACGACCTGTTGTACGATGATGCCGAGGAGGATGAAAACCTGCCGGAGCTCGACCTTGACGTGCATGCCGACCCCGAACACCGCTGGGACATCACTACGATGACGGTGATGGAGGCGCTGTCAAGCTGGAAGGGCAAGGCGGTGAAGGCCACCATGGAAGAAGAGATCTGCAACCTCATCGGTATGGGGACTTGGGAGCTGGTCGAACGCCCACACGGGGTGAACATTATGAAGAACCGGTGGGTGCTAACGGCCAAGTACCGCATCGACGACACCGTCGAGCGCGAGAATGCGAGGCTGGTCGTGAAGGGCTTCACGCAGGTGTACGGTGCTGACTACGACGAGACGTACTCGCCGGTGAGCAGCTACGTCACGCTGAGGATCTTCCTCAGCATCGTCGCCGTCCTCGACCTCAACCTGATGCAGCTCGGCATGAAGAACGCTTTCCTGCAGAGCAAGCTCGACAGGGTGCTCTACATGTACCAGCCAGACTACTTCGACGACGGGACCGGCCGAGTGTGGAAGCTGTTGAAGAGCCTCTACGGGCTGAAGCAGTTGCCGCTGCTGTGGTACAGGGCTCTCGACAGTGTGCTGCTGGGCGCTGGCTGGAAGAAGAGCCAGGTCGACGAGGCGCTCTACTTCAAGGCCGGCGACGACAGAGTGACCTGCTGGGTGCTGGTCTACGTCGACGACCTGCTCGCCGCCAGCAGCAGCACCGCGATGCTGAAGGAGCTGAAGGAGCTGCTGGAGGCCGCCTTCGAGCTTCGTGAGATCTCGCCGGTGGTGAAGTACCTTGGGCTGGAGATCGTGCGCGACAGGCCGGCCAGGAAGCTGTGGCTGCATCAGCAGGGCTACGCCGACAAGCTGCGCAGGCGCTTCATCGACGAGGAGCAGGGCGGTCGAGTCCCGAAGACGCCGGTCTCGGTCGATGCCTACGCTCAGCTGACGTTCGACGACGAGGAGGCTCAGGAGCGCGAAGAGGAGGAGTACCGGCAGAAGGTCGGCTCGCTGCAGTTCGCGGCGACGACGACGAGGCCGGACATCGCGTTCGCCTGCAGCAAGTTGGGGAGCGGCCTCACGGTAAGAAGCGACCAGCATTGGCGCGAGGTCGACCGCTGCCTCGCCTACCTCGCCGACACCCGCGACACCGCCCTGGAATTCAGCGGTGGACCAGAATCGTTGGAGCGGATCGGCTAAGCCGATTTCGACGACGCGGGCAACAAGCAGAACCGGACGAGCACGGGAGGCTACGTGTTCGTCTACGGAGGGGCCGCCGTCTCCTGGTCGAGCTCGCGCATCAAGTGCGCGACATTGTCGTCGACCGAGTCGGAGTATGTGGCGGTCACGGATGCAGGCAAAGAGGGACACCGACTTCGTTTCCTTCTTGCGGAATTCAAGCTGCTCGACGCTGGGAAGCCGACCATCCTCCGCGTCGAGAACAAGTCGGCAATCACGGTCGCTGAGGGCTTGGGGCTGACGGGCAACCTCAAGCACATGGAGCGACGCTATGCCTGGCTGCAGCACATGGTGAGGCACGGGAAATTCGTGCTGAAGTACATCCCGACCACCGAGCAGCCGGCAGACTTCCTGACGAAGGCGCTGCATTTTCCGGCTTTCAACCGGTGCTCTGTCGCCATCGGCCAAGTTCGTCTGGCCGACGTCGGCGACGCCGACGACGAGGTGCAGCAGTAGGTGCCGTGCCCTTCTGCACGGCTGGTGCGGTGACAGCGTGCTATGTGTGGGGTGCACGCCGAGGACGAGTTCTCTCCGTGGAGTACTGCCGTATGGGCTGGAGGCCCAAGCGTGAGCGCGGCAGGGGAGTGTTTACGGGAGTGGAGTGTTGGCCCCGCCCTCGCTTGGGCAACGCCGACGACTTGGTTGGGTGTATGGGAGTACTAGCCGACCATTCAGAGTGGGAGAGCTGCTCGACAGGCTTCGTCGAGCTGCAGGGGACCGCTGTGGTGTTGGTGTCGACCAGGGAGCTCGACAGCTGCAACTGACTGGTCTGGGCGACAGGTGGGCCGTCGACCAGGAGGAGCAGTTCGACCGGAAGGTCGACGGAGCAAGCCGTCGACCTGCAGCTCGACCGGAAGTAGTCCGTCGACCTGCAGCTCGACCGGAAGCAATCTGTCGACCTGCAGTTCAACCGGGAGGTCGACGGAGCAGTCCGTCAACCTGATAAGTGAGCAGCGGTCAACGAGGGGAGCTCGGCGACAACCGCTGACTGTTCTGGTCGACAGAAGGGGTCCGTCGACCAGGGGGTAGCTCGACAAGAGCTGTGGTCGACCAGGGGCACCTGGTGGTCGACCAGAGGGACCTGGTGGTCGACCAGAAGCAGTGGTGGTCGACCGGAAGCACCTGGTGGTCGACCGGGTAACCTGCTCGACGAGTTCTATGGAGGCACGCGAACGTCGTCGAGGTCGCGATGACGAAGGCGACTGCGGGCTGGTATCCCGAAGTTGATGTGGCTCGTCAGGCGCAGACAACAGCCGACAGATGGCCAACGAGGGCATGTCGGGCCAATCGTCTGCGCGCACCTGCGAGCGTGCGCACTGCTGTGTTCTACGGGTCAACACTGTGGAGAGGAGAACGCGAATGAATGAACTATGAATGAAGTGAGTACATATAGGAAACCCTAATTGGGTTGTACCCCCTATGGGATACCCCACTATAGCCTACACAACAGCATAAGCTATATAATGTTCTGACACACCCCCATAGGCAAAGTGGGGGAGAACAAGGGGTCACAAGACCAGTCACGCAAAGCACAGCAAGCTCAGGGTGGATCACAAAGTCACCACACAGTCCGAGCACAACGACAAGGCCACAAGGCCAGTTCACATGCAGGAGGACACATATATATATAGAGCTAGACAAGCAAGAGCAGGTATATATATGTGACAGTACAAGCAAGGTCAAGAGGAGAGCAAGTGAGGCAAGACAGGTACAAGACCCAACTGAGTGCAGAAGCGCTGATGGTCACAAGGCGCAAGTGCCTTGGTGAACACATCAGCAGTGTTGGCCTCAGAGGCCACGTACGCAAGTCGCAACTGACCACGCTGCTGCAGCTCACGAGCAAGAAAGTAACGGAGAGCAATGTGCTTCGTTCTGTGCTCCAAGCGCTGCTCTCGACACAAGGCCAGCATGGCCTTGTTGTCTACGTACAGCACTGGAGGAGAACGAGGCTGCTCTCCAAGGTCAGTCAGCAGGTAGGTGAGCCAGCGAAGCTCCTGTGCAGCCATGGCCCCGGCGTAGATCTCAGCCTCACAACTGGAGCCGAGAACAGAGGACGAGCGAGTAGCCCGCCACGAGACAGAGCCGGAACCAAGACTGAAGGTGTAACCCTGCGACGACCGCTGCGTAGCCTGGTCGTCAGCCCAAGAAGCGTCCGCGTGCCCAGTGAGGACCACTGGACTCCGCCCTCCAAGCACTAGCCCCATGCCCGACGTACTGCACAAGTAGCGCAACACCCTCTTCGCTGCAGCCATGTGCTCTGGTCGGTGTCTCCCAGGAGCAACATAGCGTGCAAGAATGCTAAGAGGGTATGCAAGGTCAGGTCGTGTGCAGGTCATCAGGTACATGAGGCAGCCAACAAGCTCTGGGTACGGGCCACTCGACTCTACGGACTCATCCGAAGGCAGAGCTGAGAGCGAGTGGCGAGTAGACAGAGGAGTGGCCTGAGGCGAGGAGTACGTGAAGCCGAAGCGCTGAAGGACCTGCTGCACCATGTGTGACTGAGTCAAGGTAATGGTGTGGCGTGCTCTGTCCCGAGTGATCTGCAAGCCAAGGTAGCTGCGCAGTTCACCCAGGTCTGTGCACGTGTGTCTCTTCTGCAGCTCGGACTTCACGTAGGCTAGTCCAGCAGTGTCAGCTGTGGCAAAGACCAAGTCGTCGACGTACACGAGGATGTAGAACGGCGGCAAAGAAGTGTCGGTGCGCAGAAACAACG